CAGTCCAAGTATCGGCACATTTCGAACGAAAAATTACACTGAAAATGGCACAACGTCGAAACCGGTTTGTCTCCAAACCAAATTTGACAAGGGATGATGGAAAATCGTTCCACATTACATTATACTCCTACCCTGTCGGAAACACCAACAACGAAAATGAGAGTAACGGCACATGCAGTAATTAATTGATAGAAAAATATTTTCTAATAAAAAAAATTATTATAATTGTCAATAGCATTTTCAATCTTGATAATTTATCAAGAAAATAGACAAATTATAAAAATATTGAATTTATTAAGTTCACAGAACCGGGCTGTAAGTATATACATATTTGTTATGAAATATAGTAGTGTTATTCAGTATATTTTTTTCTCACTGAAGAAGTGAAGATTTTGGTAGTGAAGATTTGGTAACATTTCTTAAGAGATTTTGGTAGAAAAAAATGTTGGCGAGTGGCAACCATGGTTATAATCCCTAAGCGCGGCCGAAGGGCGCCTACACACAAAGATTATTATTATTATTATTATTTATTAACAGTATTAAATAAATTAACAAGTTAATATAAATTTTGAGCATTAGCTGCCAAGGCTATCAGCTCTACTTAACTGTAACGGAGTTTTAGAAAAGGAAAAATTAAAATATATGAGAGAATTTTACAGAGACGGCTGTTATATAGGTACTTGGATGGCTTTGATGAAACTGATGATGGAATTTATGTTGTCCTTTGTGGGAATACTAAGTAGTTCGACCCAGTTGTGTTTGAAGTACCGGCGTCTAGTTCCTTCAAGAGAAGTGCACTCGAAGAATATGTGTTTTAAAGTTAAATCCAATTGGCAGCGTGGGCAGGTTGGTGTTGGGTTACCCAATAGAAGGTGTTCGTGGGTGCAACGCGTGTGACCAAGACGGAGACGCGAGAACATTTGAATGTGCACTTTGGAAATTGTTGTAGGATAAATTGGGGTTTTAAGTTCCCGGTTTATGTTAGTGTAGTGATGATGGCTGTAGTTGTGCCACTTCTGAGTACTTTTATGCCGTAAGTGACGTAGGATAAATCTTCGTGTATCTATCTTTTCTACTGTATTGTCTGTCGTTACAGGGGCTGTACATACTGACTTTGCGGCAAAGTCTGCTGCCTCGTTACCATGGATACCTATATGTCCAGGCATCCAAAATAATCTTATTTTCTGCTCGTTTTCGATAAGCATGTCTCTAATTATGTTCACTGTCCTTGAGTTCGAAGTTGGATTTTGGACTGCTTTAAGGACCGATAGGCTGTCGGAGCAGATAATCACTTTAAATGCTGTTTCCAACGCCATGTAGATCGCGTTACTTATAGCAATAGCTTCTGCTCTAAATGATGACGTGAGAGCGTTTGCATTCTTAATATAAGCCCGTTTGTGTCAACGACAGCATAGCTGCCGGGCGTATCCTTGGTTTTGGATCCAACTGTAAACCAGAGTACCCAATCGTCTGCTTCGTAAAACGTTCTCCGTTCTTGAAACTTTTGATGGAATACCGTAGCGGGAGTGTGACTTTTCCTGAGCGCAGACAGCGTCATGTCGCAGGATGCTTTCTTAATGGCCCAAGGCGGGTTTATTGTTAGGTAATTTTCCTTGGTATATGGTAAGTCCAAGATGGTTGCGATGTCGAGGATTAAGTATAGTGCGGCGTGTTATAGCTGAGCCTCAAGAGATTGACGTCGTTATCGATAACGGAG